TTTTTACCGGGTGACTTGAGCCGTGCCTTACATGCTCAATGGTTTTCAATGGAATTCTACAGTGTTCAACAAAGTCGTCCCAAGCTTCATATTCCGTTACTTCAAACAGTATTCCGTGATGAATGTGGCCTCCACTTTTGCTCTATATAGCATGTCTACCACAACAATGTATGGCTAGCTATAGCGGTCTGGATTACCAAAGCCTGTATTACTGGAGTTTTTCGAAACTGGTGGTTTAATGTTTGGGGTACTGAGGTATCGCCTGGTGTAATCAGACTTTAGTTGGTGGTTTGATGTTTGAGGTACTGAGGTATCGCCTGGTGTAATCTGACTTTAGCTCGTGGTTTAATGTCTGAAGTACTGAGGTATCGCCTGGTGTAATCTGACTTTAGCTGGTGGGGAAACATCTTCTTTTTCGTCTTTGGCAAACGCAACTTACTTGTTCCTCCGACTCTTATTCTTCAATACCAGTGAATCTGTCTGGATTTTGTCTTTCGTTGTATATCCACAATCACTAAATTGTCAGAAGTTGTGTTTCAAATCTTTTACGGCTTGTAGATATTCGCTTTCATTTGTTCTTTCTGAGAGAATGAAAATGAGATTCATCAAGTTGGAGTTTTGCTTTTCAAGATCCTCCGTATTTCTTCGAAATTTGTAAAAGTGTCTTTTTGAAACATTCAACAATGTCCCTTTCAAGTTCTTCTATTTTCTTCTTTATTTTTGTCGTCGCATCTTTCTCCGCCACCCTTTTCATCATCGCCCCTATATTCGCCATCCTTGTCATTTTTAATACATTTACAACGAAACGTTGGACTTATGTCCTTATGCTTTCCAGAGTTGGAGCAGTTTGTTTATAATTCTTAAAGGCCCAGTTGGTCCCCGGGGTGCTAGTGAATATGACTAAATATTAATGTCACAGATATTCAGGCTACATCCAATACGCAGTTTTTCCCTTAAAAAATACGGCCATATTTTCAACATATGCTGGACGAGTCGTCTAGTGTATTCCTCCTCTTTCCGTGTATCACTATATATGTAGCTACAGTGTTATTTGGCACTCAAACTTATTTAGGTTTATTTTTTTAAGGTAATGATCAGTAGAATGTCCGTGTAATCGTAGACAGACGACGAGGAAAGTTCACTAGTCTGATCTACGGGTTAGTTAAAAGAACAGGGTAGTCCAATATTAACATATCTTAACTTATATTGAGAGCTGTCTGCTTGTCTGAATCACGCTCTCAGTATTTGAGCAGCTTGGCATAAAAAGCTCTTCACATCTACTCCATAATAACACGATTTCAAAAACTATAAACATAATTACGAGCGGGGGTTATTGGTTTTAAAACAGTGTGTAAAGGGGTTCGCTAGTTTTTATAAGATACTGTTCCTGGTTAAAGTGAATTTCAGTACTGTTTACATTGTCGATTAAATGTTTGATCCAGCGTTATTGAAGTATTTAATGAGCCCTTACGTGTCTTCTACTTAAAGAAACTGATGATCGGACAGTCAGTGAATACTACATGCATCATGACCAAGTTGTCGTAGGGTCTGGTCAAGTCTTGTCCTATTCCAGTCGCTGTAGGGTCTGGTCAATTCTTGTCCTATCCCATTCATTGTAGGGTCTGGTCAAGTCTTGTCCTATCCCAGTCGCTGTAGGGTCTGGTCAAGTTTTGTGCTAGCCCATTCATTGTAGGGTCTGGTCAAGTCTTGTCCTATCCCAGTCATTGTATGGTCTGGTAAAGTCTTGTCCTATCCCTGGCATTGTAGGGTCTGGTCAAGTCTTGTCCTATCCCAGTCATTGAAGGGTCTGATCAAGTTTTGTCCTATCCCAGTCGCTGAAGGGTCTGATCAAGTCTTGTCCTATCCCAGTCGTTGTAGGGTCTGATCAAGTCCTGTCCTATCCCAGTCGTTGAAGGGTCTGATCAGGTCTTGTTCTATCCCAGTCGTTGTTGGGTCTGGTCAAGTCTTGTCCTATCCCATTCATTGTAGGGTCTGATCAAGGCTTGTCCTATCCCAGTCGTCGTAGGGTCTGGCCAAGTCTTGTCCTATCCAAGTCGTTGTAGGGTCTGATCAAGTCTTGTCCTATCCCAGTCGTTGTAGGGTCTGGTCAAGTCTTGTCCTATCCCAGTCGTTGTAGGGTCTGATCAAGTCTTGTCCTATTCCAGTCGTTGTAGGGTCTGGTCAGGTCTTGTTCTATCCCAGTCGTTGTAGGGTCTGGTCAAATCTTGTCCTATCTCATTTATTGTAAGGTCTGGTCAAGTCCTGTCCTATCCCAGTCGTTGTAGGGTCTGGCCAAGTCTTGTCCTATCCAAATCGTTGTAGGGTCTGATCAAGTCCTGTCCTATCCCAGTCGTTGTAGGGTCTGGCCAAGTCTTGTCCTATCCAAGTCGTTGTAGGGTCTGGCCAAGTCCTGTCCTATCCCAGTCGTTGTAGCGTCTGATCAAGTCTTGTCCTATCCCAGTCGTTGTAGGGTCTGATCAAATCTTGTCCTATCCCAGTCGTTGTAGGGTCCGGCCAAGCCTTGTCCTATCCCAGTCGTTGTAGGGTCTGGTCAAGTCTTGTCCTAGCCCAGTCGTTGTAGGGTCTGGCCAAGTCTTGTCCTATCCAAATCGTTGTAGGGTCTGATCAAGTCTTGTCCTATTCCAGTCGTTGTAGGGTCTGGTCAGGTCTTGTTCTATCCCAGTCGTTGTAGGGTCTGATCAAATCTTGTCCTATCCCAGTCGTTGTAGGGTCTGGTCAAGTCTTGTCCTATCCCAGTCGTTGTAGGGTCCGGCCAAGTCTTGTTCTATCCCAGTCGTTGTAGGGTCTGGCCAGGTCTTGTTCTATCCCAGTCGTTGTAGGGTCTGATCAAGTCTTGTCTTATCCAAGTCGTTGTAGGGTCTGATCAAGTCTTGTCCTATCCCAGTCTTTGTAGGGTCCGGCCAAGTCTCCTCCTATCCTAGTCGTTGTAGGGCCTGGTCAAGTCCTGTCCTATTCCAGTCGTTGTAGGGTCTGGTCAAGCTCTGTCCTATGCCAGTCGTTGTAGGGTCTGGTCAAGCTCTGTCCTATCCCAGTCGTTGTAGGGTCTGGTTTAGTCTTGTCCTATCCCAGTCGTTGTAGGGTCTGGTCAAGTCCTGTCCTATCCCAGTCGATGTAGGGTCTGATCAAGTCTTGTCCTATCCCAGTCGTTGTTGGGTCTGGCCAAGTTTTGTCATATCCCAGTCGTTGTAGGGTCTGGTCAAGTCCTCTCCTATCCCAGTCGTTGTAGGGTCTGGTCAAGTCCTGTCCTATCTCAGTCGTTGTAGGGCCTGGTCAAGTCCTGTCCTATCCCAGTCGTTGTAGGGGCTGGTCAAGTCCTCTCCTATCCCAGTCGTTGTAGGGTCTGGTCAAGTCCTGTCCTTTCCCAGTCGTTGTAGGGTCTGGTCAAGTCCTGTCCTATCCCAGTCGTAGTAGGGCCTGGACAAGTCCTGTCCTATCCCAGTCGTTGTAGGGCCTGGTCAAGTCCTGTCCTATCCCAGTCGTTGTAGGGTCTGATCAAGTCTTGTCCTATGCCAGTCGTTGTAGGGTCTGGTCAAGTCTTGTCCTCTCTCAGTCGTTGTAGGGTCTGGTCAAGTCCTGTCCTATCCCAGTCGTTGTAGGGTCTGGTCAAGTCTTGTCCTATGCCAGTCGTTGTAGGGTCTGGTCAAGTCCTGTCCTATCCCAGTCGTTGTAGGGTCTGGTCAAGTCCTGTCCTATCCCAGTCGTTGTAGGGTCTGGTCAAGTCCTGTCATATCCCAATCGTTGTAGGGTCTGGTCAAGTCCTGTCCTATCCCAGTCGTTGTAGGGTCTGGTCAAGTCTTGTCCTATCCCAGTCGTTGTAGGGTCTGGTCAAGTCTTGTCCTATCTCAGTCGTTGTAGGGTCTGGTCAAGTCCTGTCCTATCCCAGTCGTTGTAGGGTCTGGTCAAGTCTTGTCCTATCCCAGTCGTTGTAGGGTTTGGTCAAGTCCTGTCCTATCCCAGTCGTTGAAGGGCCTGGTCAAGTCCTGTCCTATCCCAGTCGTTGTAGGGCCTGGTCAAGTCTTGTCTAATCACACCTTCTGGTATATTATAGTATACCAGAGATATACCATACCGCCTGCTCCTTCTTCAATATTCCCCGAGTTTACGCGGGAAACTGGCCAATGTTGGTCGTAGTCATATTTGTACATTGGTTGTATAATATAGTTATGTAGTATACTTGAGAAGTCTTTGTGAGACCTTTGTTATAATAGTTCCTCAGCTCCTTCATTAGGCGGTTGGTGCTTTATTTCGTTTTTGAAAGAAAGAAAAAAATAGAAAAAGAAGGGCACGCTCTCAAAATCGATGAATTCTCATAGACCATTGTATAACCGACAGTTCGCCCCTGTGTGTATCAGAAATGGAGAAGAATTTCGCACCTTCAGCTCATCAGCATTGTTCTGCCAACCACTCGAATCTCAAATTATAATCTGTCAAAATTATACATGAAGACATTTTAATGTTTATTTTGACCTTCTTATAATTAATAATTATCATATCAATCAAAATCAGTCAGAACTGCTACAAAACCAAAAAGACCAACATGTTTCCACGCAACCGGAAGCGGAAGTCTTAATGTTTACCACCAGACTCTTAATTCTAAAACAAGCAGCCAATGATTACCATTAAAGTATTTCATCAAGGCCACTAAGCAGAGTTTTACATAAAACTTTAAGCTCTCAGCCAGAAATCAGGTTTACAAATAAGGTCTAGATTCAAAAATTAAAGATGACTTTCTAGCAAAAAACACTGTTTACCACCAAGCTCTTTTCTTTATGTTATGATCCATGTTTACCGCGAGCCCCATGACCGAATGTTTATAACCAATCATTAGTTTCTAATCTAGAAATCTAGAACACCTGTCTTTGCTATGTTTTTATTTGTGTGGACTTGATATTAAAAATTGATGTTATCTTGATCGTGAAAATTCATTGTACTAGATATTATACGATTTTTTGAAACATTTCTATATTTTTGTATTTCAGATCCAGTTTACCGGAGCCAGTATGAACACAGCCCGGAGTTTCGGACCTGCTGTTGTGATGGGGGTCTGGGATAAACACTGGGTACGTTTTGTACACAATGTCGTGAAGTACAGATACAAATCAAACTGGCTCATCACACATCCCTGCCTGATTCTTTTTGAACTTGATTATAATTTACAATTTTAACTTTAATCTCACACTTTCAATTTTACAATGAAAGTCCTTTATGGAGTTACGTAACTACAATTGATCTTAACGCAGGAACACCAAAGTAGAAGTCAATAGAAGGACGTTAATGTCATCGATCATGATTTTCAGGGAAAATTATGGATTTACTACATTGGAGCAAAACCCCTTTAACTGATCCCATCTGCGGTTTGGCAACTAAGACGAATTCTATACATTCGGCTTAAATGGAACGATGTTTAAAAACACGTTTTCTGCAATGTTATATACTCCACCTCTACCCCTAATGTTTTAAGCCAAACAATTCATTAGAGCTTCAACAACCCAGGTGGAGTATACATTGGTCTGGGATGGATGTTGCGGTATCTGTGCTGTTCACTCAAGTGAGGTGACACCATAAATGATACCGTTGGAAGCACGGTCCCACTACAAACAGAACACAATACATCTCCAGCACACACACAGGCATACACACATAGGGAGATATTGGCCAGGTGACATAGAACAGAGTTAGCGCCTGATGAGGCAGCTCCTGCGAATTCCTCAAAAATGTATTGATCAATGTATGCTTATTGTATTGTTTGTAAACATTGTATATCTATGTACTGTAAAGCGCTTTAGAGTGGCTTATTCTAGCTAGATAGGGCGCTATATCAAATGTTGTATATCATCATTATTATTGAGAGAAAAAAATACTAATATAAATAGTAGTTATGATACATAGACTAGAAGGCCAGTACTGCGGACATCGGTGACAACGTATCAAACAAGAATTAATTAATCGTCCACATTAATGACTGACTGATGTAAAACTGATTATACCATTCCGTATTGGAATAAGATAATCAAACTGATATTGTCGTTTCACAAATACACTAAGGTACATTAAGGGAATCGCGCACAAGTTGTTCTACAAGTCCTGATTTATATAAATATCTAGTTATCCTTAAGAATAAAATACAACATTCTTGCAGTTTTTTAATATCGTGCATCATTGCATTTTATGAAAACTCCCTTTCTTACTCCTTTTTTAATGATAGGAATATTGACAAGGATGCCCCGTAAAAGTCCCCTTTAATCGCAGCCGGTGTGAAATGTGAAATTGATCGCGTAGGATATTTCAGATCAATTAGTGTTACACTACTAAACTCATCATATGATAACGTTTTTCTATATAACTCAATGATGATAATGAACACACTGATAGTGTAGCCCCGAATCAATGAAGGGTTGTGAATAAAAAGTAAAACCAATCTGAATATAAAGTTGCTTTATCGCTCTTTAGGTAGGATGAACCATAACTAGGAAGGATTACGGCGCGTGAAAAACTCGGGCATCCACTCCGTAAGGCGGGATTTTCATCATCATAGATTCCCCAGATGGGCAAAATTAGCATGTTAAACGTTTGTCGAGTCAGTAAAACCGTTTTAGCGTGAACGAGTTCTATTAATGGAAGACTTTATAGAGAGTAAGATATAAACACTACGAAAGCTGTTTAGATACAGTTAAGATTTCAACAGTTTCAATCTTTAGTCAACATTTCCTTTTACGATAAGTCTGCTGTTGTTAACAATGTGTGTGTAGGGGTGGGGTATAGATCCGTTTCGTTGAAATAATAAGTTGTCAGGTGAGGTTGCCTCTTAAATATTATAACAAGTTGTCAGTATGTGATTGTTATGAATATAGTCAAGTCAATTTTGTTTATTATAGTGTCATATATCACAATTACATCGTACAAGTATATAGTTACACAGTATAAAAACATATAGTAACATAGTAGTAATGTAAATATATATATCAAAATTTTGTTGAGAACAGTAATAATACGTAATATATCAATAAATTAAAACAACGGACGAGAAGCAAAGAGGCAACCATATTCTATGTACAATTAAAACGTCCTAACTGTGTGATTAAACAAAGCTATTCAGTCAATTACCTTTCCACTTTGACAAATAAATACAGGTATATATAAGCAATATAGTGATAATATATCAATTTGATTGAACCTGTCCCAGACGGATAGGTGACAGATGTCGTGCTTTTGCGTTTATTCTTAAAATTAAGATGTTTATTCGGATAGGTTGATTCTCTGATATCTATATGATAAGTCATAAGACAGGAAACCTAGTATACATATTTAACGTATTACTACTGGAGACTGAGATGTGATACCCGGCCATGGGTGTGTGTCCACTATGGGGTAGCTACCTTCTACGATGTTCTAGGCAATACTGTTTGTATACCCGGCCATGGGTGTGTGTCCACTATGGGGTAGATACCCTCTACGATGTCCTAGGCTTTACTGTTTGTATACCCGGACATGGGGGTGTGTCCACTATGGGGGGGATACCGTCTGCGATGTTCTAGGCATTACTGTTTGTATACCCGGACATGGGTGTGTGTCCACTATGGGGTGGATACCCTCTGCGATGTTCTAGGCATTACTGTTTGTATACCCGGACATGGGTGTGTGTCCACTATGGGGTAGCTACCTTTTACGATGTTCTAGGCATACTGTTTGGATACCCGGACATGGGTGTGTGTCCACTATGGGGTAGATCCCCTCTACGATGTTCTAGGCAATACTGATTGTATACCCGGACATGGGTGTGTGTCCACTATGGGGTAGATCCCCTCTACGATGTTCTAGGCAATACTGATTGTATACCCGGACATGGGTGTGTGTCCACTATGGGGTAGCTATACCTTCTACGATGTTCTAGGCAATACTGTTTGTATACCCGGCCATGGGTGTGTGTCCACTATGGGGTAGCTACCTTTTACGATGTTCTAGGCATACTGTTTGTATACCCGGACATGGGTGTGTGTCCACTATGGGGTAGATACCCTCTACGATGTTCTAGGCAATACTGATTGTATACCCGGACATGGGTGTGTGTCCACTATGGGGTAGCTACCTTCTACGACGTTCTAGGCATTACTGTTTGTATACCCGGACATGGGTATGTGTCCACTGTGGGGTAGATACCCTCTACGATGTTCTAGGCTTTACTGTTTGTATACCCGGACATGGGTGTGTGTCCACTATGTGGTAGCTACCCTCTACGATGTTCTAGACATTACTGTTTGTATACCCGGACATGGGTGTGTGTCCACTATGGGGTAGACACCCTCTACGATGTTCTAGACATTACTGTTTGTATACCCGGACATGGGTGTGTGACCACTATGGGGTAGATACCCTCTACGATGTTCTAGGCATTACTGTTTGTATACCCGGACATGGGGATGTGTCCACTGTGGGGTAGATACCCTCTACGATGTTCTAGGCTTTACTGTTTGTATACACGGACATGGGTGTGTGTCCACTATGGGGTAGATACCTTCTACGATGTTCTAGGCAATACTGTTTGTATACCCGGCCATGGGTGTGTGTCCACTATGGGGTAGATACCCTCTACGATGTTCCAGGCATTACTGTTTGTATACCCGGACATGGGTGTGTGACCACTATGGGGTAGATACCCTCTACGATGTTCTAGGCTTTACTGTTTGTATACACGGACATGGGTGTGTGTCCACTATGGGGTAGATACCTTCTACGATGTTCTAGGCAATACTGTTTGTATACCCGGCCATGGGTGTGTGTCCACTATGGGGTAGATACCTTCTACGATGTTCTAGGCAATACTGTTTGTATACCCGGCCATGGGTGTGTGTCCACTATGGGGTAGATACCCTCTACGATGTTCCAGGCATTACTGTTTGTATACCCGGACATGGGTGTGTGACCACTATGGGGTAGATACCCTCTACGATGTTCTAGACATTACTGTTTGTATACCCGGACATGGGTGTGTGTCCACTATGGGGTAGATACCCTCTACGATGTTCTAGACATTACTGTTTGTATACCCGGACATGGGTGTGTTTACACTATGGGGTAGCTACCTTCTACGATGTTCTAGGCATTACTGTTTGTATACATCACACTGAGCACGTTCATCGTACTTCATTTTGTTTGAGTACATTATCATGCCCAGGGATCAAAATTCAGCACGGATAACCATACCGCATGATGAAACGTAAACCCTATCAGAGGAACAAATCAACATATTCCAATGACATCACCTGCAAAGATTCTGTCAGGTGATATTGTTGTGAATGGCAGAAAAAATACGTATTTTACCGCCACAGATGCTTAAATTTGTAACAAGATTCCCATGTCTTTACAGGTGTACTGGTTAGCCCCACCACTCGGAGCGTGCTGTGCTGGTCTCTTGTACGACAATGTGTTTTCCCTGAACGCGTCACTAGAGAAGGCGCGTGGATTTCTCCTGTCCAGTGATTACGACCACGAAGACTTCCCCGCCAAACGAAGAAAGATCAAAGTCATTCACGAGGAAGCAGAAGAACTTAATGTCGACTTGAACCAGAAAGCACCGGAAACGGCCTAAACATTTCCACGCATGCGTAATGGAATCACGATTAAGAGTGTGACAAGAATGATATCGAAAACATATTTAACTTATTCATAAGGCAATTTTAAAGAAAGTTACTACCCGTTAAGACGTTTAGATTTGGGCTTGAGAAGGGCAGACAACTCACAAGGGACTTATCACTGATAGCTTACGATAGGTTTAAGATCTCTCTCTCGGAGATTAAGGGTTCGGCGTTTGACGTGCATACAAGGTTCTGGTTATGATTGTGGTAATACTTGAATGCACGTCATAAAGTTACCTGGAATGAGTGTACACACACACACGACTAACGATAACCAGATACGTAGATAAATAAAGCTAGTCAAGACCTGAGGCGTATTAGGCTCGCAAAGAGGTCACGACGCCCTACACTATAATGCTGCAAAGCCAAAGGTAGTGATGGAGATCGTTTGTGAACATGTGAGTTGGCTTGATAAGTTTGATAGAGCCGCCGCTTCCGTATTGTCAAGTTATTCTACACTTTCAAAACAATTTGCGGATGAGTTGAAAAAAAACGATCTAATTAGAAAGTAGCAGACATCAGCTGACATCTACCAGTTACATATGAACACTTTGTGACAGAAAAGGTCACAAAGGCATTTTTCGATGAATGGTCGTTTTTGTTGTATCTCTTGATGTGTGTTTGTGGTACGTATCACTTTATATACGTATCACACGTTTGTAACACGTACCACACGCTTGTTATACTAATGAGTACCGAACATTTGTCATTCTGGTAATAACCACCTGTTTGTCAAATTAGTAAGGTAACCACGTGTTTGTAATATTAGTTAGGTTACCACATGTTTGTAATACCAGTAAGGTTACCACGTGTTTGTAAAATTAGTAAGGTTACCACGTGTTTGTAATATCAGTTAGGTTACCACGTGTTTGTAATATTGGTAAGGTTACCACGTGTTTGTAATATCAGTTAGGTTACCACGTGTTTGTAATATTGGTAAGGTTACCACGTGTTTGGAATATCAGTAAGGTTACCGCGTGTTTGTAATATTATTAAGGTTACCACGTTTTTGTAATATTAGTAAGGTTACCACGTGTTTGTAATATTAGTAAGGTTCCCACGTGTTTGTAATATTAGTAAGGTTACCACGTGTTTGTAATATTAGTAAGTATCATTGTTTTAATATCAGTAAGGTAACGACGTGTCTGTAATATCAGTAAGGTTACCACATGTTTGTAATACCAGTTAGGTTACCACGTGTTTGTAATATTAGTAAGTATCATTGTTTTAATATCAGTAAGGTTACCACGTGTTTGTAATATCAGTAAGGTTACCGCGTGTTTGTAATATTGGTAAGTTTCATTGTTTTATTATCAGTAAGGTTACGACGTGTCTGTAATATCAGAAAGGTTACCATGTGTTTGTAATATTAGTAAGTATCACGTGTTTGTAATATCAGTAAGGTTACCGCGTGTTTGTAATATTGGTAAGGTTGCCACGTGTTTGTAATATTGGTAAGGTTTCCACGTGTTGGTAATATTGGAAAGGTTACCACGTGTTTGTAATATCAGTAAGATTCATTGTTTTAATATCAGTAAGGTTACGACGTGTCTGTAATATCAGAAAGGTTACCACGTGTTTGTAATATTAGTAAGTATCACGTGTTTGTAATATCAGTAAGGTTACCGCGTGTTTGTAATATTAGTAAGGTTACGACGTGTCTGTAATATCAGTAAGGTTACCACGTGTTTGTAAAATTAGTAAGGTTACCACGTGTTTGTAATATCAGTAAGGTTACAACGTTTTTGTCATATAAGTAAGTATCATTGTTTTAATATCAGTAAGGTTACCACATGTTTGTAATATCAGTAAGTATCACGTGATTGTAATATCAGTAAGCTTACCACATGTTTGTCATATAAGTAAGTATCATTTTTTTAATATCAATAAGGTAACGACGTGTCTGTAATATCAGTAAGGTTACCACGTGTTTGTAATATTAGTAAGTATCATTGTTTTAATATCAGTTAGGTTACCACGTGTATGTAATATCAGTTAGGTTACCACGTGTATGTTATATCAGTAAGGTTACCACGTGATTGTAATATTCGTAAGTATCACTGTTATTCATATCAGTAAGCTTACGAAGTGATTATAATATCAGTAATTTTACCACGTGTTTGTAATATTGGCAAGTTTTTATTACCACGTGTTGGTAATATCAATAAGCTTACCACGTGTTTGTAATAATAGTTAGGTTACCACGTGTTTGTAATATTATTAAGTATCATTGTTTTAATATCAGTAAGTATCACGTGTTTGTAATATCAGTAAGTTTCATTGTTTTAATATCAGTAAGGTTACCACGTGTTTGTAATATCAGTAAGGTTACGACGTGTTTGTAATATCAATAAGGTTACAACGTGATTGTAAAATTAGTAAGGTTACCACGTGTTTGTAATATCAGTAAGGTTACCACGTGATTGTAATATTGATAAGCTTACCACATGTTTGTAATACCAGTAAGGTTACGACGTGTTTGTAATATTAGTAAGTGTCATTGTTTTAATATCAGTAAGGTTACCGCGTGTTTGTAATATTGGTAAGGTTACCACGTGTTTGTAATATCAGTAAGGCTACCACGTGTGTGTAATATTAGTAAATTAAGGTAACCACATGTTGGAAATATATATAAGCTTACCACGTGTTTGTAATATCAGTAAGCTTACCACGTGTTTGTAATATCAGTTAGGTTACCACGTGTTTGTAATATAAGTAAGGTTATCACGTGTTTGTAATAACAGTAAGCTTACCACGTGTTTGTAATATCAGTTTGGCTACCACGTGTTTGTAATATTAGTAAGGCTACCACGTGTTTGTAATATTAGTAAGGTTACCACGTGTTTGTAATATCAGTAAATTAAGGTTACCACATTTTTGTAATATAAGTAAGGTTACCACGTGTTTGTAATATCAGTGATGTTACCACGTGTTTGTAATATCAGTTAGGTTATAACGTGTTTGTAATATCAATTAAGTTACCACGTGTTGGTAATATTAGTAAGGTTATCACGTGTTTGTAAAATAAGTAAGTATCACGTGTTTGTAATATTAATTAGGTTACCACGTGTTTGTAATATTAGTAAGGTTACCACGTGTTTGTAATATCAGTAAATTAAGGTTACCACATTTTTGTAATATAAGTAAGGTTACCACGCGTTTGTAATATCAGTGATGTTATCACGTGTTTGTAATATCAGTTAGGTTATAACGTGTTTGTAATATCAATTAAGTTACCACGTGTTGGTAATATTAGTAAGGTTATCACGTGTTTGTAATATTAGTAAGGTTACCACGTGTTTGTAATATTAGGAAGGTTATCACGTGTTGTAAAATAAGTAAGTATCACGTGTTTGTAATATTAATTAGGTTACCACGTGTTTGAAATATTTTGAGTTTGTTATAGTGTCAAGTTGTTGTAAACAAAACAAAAATATGAAAATCGTAATATGACAAACCCCATTTATCAAACACTGCTTTTATAATTTGCATACATGAAACACGACATCAGTGACAAATCTAATGTGATTGTATTCTTAGCTGTTTACTCTGTTAAGTAATCTAGAGTTAGTTCCCTTCAATCAAACGAATTTCGTCGTTGTCAAAGACCTTTTAACGATGTCACTCAACTAGGATCTACTCCCGGGTATCTTTTGATGACCTTCTTGTTGCCTTCTTCATCCCTTTCTGAGATCAGTAGGGGGCTTCAGACTAATCTGGTGATTCAGTCAGGTGACCTGGGGATTATCCCCAAGTCACGTGACTAAATCAGGCTTTTATTTTGATATTACAAATGTAACGAGTTTTCGTCAAGTTAATACCCCTATAGGTTTTTTTTATCCTTCCAATCCATTTACGGTTGAACGTAGTTAGTTGACTTATACGCCTCAGATTAACCGTCACTAACCCCACTTCCGGTCTCATGTTGGCCAAATAAGGGTGAAAAATGATACTTGGAATTTAATTAACATTTTCTTGTTGTAGGTTCTACTTTCGGAAATGTTTATTTCAATGTAAATGTTGTTTTATTTAACCACTAAATGTTTCTTGTTAATCATTTACATTCCAGTATCTGAATATTTCATATCTATTCAAATTTTATAGTGTCGTCAATATTAAAATTTCTACCTTCCTTTTGGTTCACGTCTGCTATTTGTATTCTCTATTGACGATTTTTTTTATATTTTTGTTGCAACTTCTCATTTTCCATGTAAATTTTACAATGGTTTCTTGTATACTATACAAAGTTTAATCATTTCAAATGATAATACATCTTCAGTACGCCACGTAAACAAATTCATGTCATTCGTTACATTTCAAGATTGAAAAGCAGCAATTATACCAAACCATTATTAAACTATTCATTATCACAATTTATGAAGAACATATCTTATAAAAATACACAGAAGTCGTCACGTCTATTAAAGTTACCTCCCCTTGTTGACACTCTTACAAACCATGGCGCATGCGATTGTTTTATGTTTGAATGGCATTTTGGTCAATTTGAAGCACTGGAACAGGTGTATTTAAACTGTGTTTTAATGTGTAATACTCTGTTTAAATCGTAGTGTCGTATACGCCTTAAGTGTTTATTAAATATATATATATATATATTCAATTTAAGTAAAACGCATCCAACCAACATTTGTTTGTTCGGATCCAGTGCCAATATTGGATCACACTCTCGTACCTATATATATATATATTCAATTGAATATACCTGTATTGATATGTATTTATATTGTTCTTATTAAAGTAATTCTGTTGACAAACTCTTGTTTTTAATACGAGCTGCCTTACCTCCCCTTGTCTAAATTCTCCTGTTTTCATAGTATCGTTCAACCAGACTCTTGTCTGCGCAAGCTACGCCGCTGGTTGAACGAGACTACTGTTTTCATTAAGAGTTGTCTTACCTCCCCAATGTCCAGCCATTCGAACTGAGGTGGAATTATATACCATATCTTATAACTTGTTGTAAATCTCATGAAAACATATCGGCAAAACGGTTAAAATTATTTCGCTTCTCCAACGTCTGTTCTAGTAAAAGGATTTTGTCGGGTAGACGCTTTCTATTGACCTCGTTTCCCGGGATATTCACTACTGCAAGTGTCATATTGACCTCTTTATTAATGCAACCATGTTTGCAAAATGTCAGGATCGTGTCTTATGAAGCATGCAAATGTTTCTTTTGCATCAGATTTTCTGACCAATATGACATCCACGATTTAGAAAATATTTGGCGCAGATAGATTTAGTAATTAACTTTTTTGTTACCGGGTTATTAAGATGATTTTATTTTTTATTTTATTTTTTAATAATAATAGGTAGTTACTACTCTCATAAATTTTATAATAATGAAGCTCAGTTTACCATCATCATCTGTATGTTAGATATTTACCTTATTTTCATGATGGATATATATTTCATTGAGTAAAATGTCCATTTCCGAACGCTGAAATACTTTCTTTGAGTCTTGGAAAACTCTTTCACCAGTTCTATAATAACTTATCGTTATTACTGTGCTTCATATGAAACCGTCATAAAAACATATGATGGTTTCACATATTTTTGATATTTGCGTCCTAAGTAACAACCTAGGAAACCGTGACATATATTCTATTCACATTTTGCTAAGGATCACTTTTATTTTTGGGCATATGTGAAAGTAAATATTTGATTTGATTTATCCGAGATTATGTTTGAAAAATTGAGTGTTCTTTTAATTCATCAGCATGCAAAAAATCCAAAAATCGTAATTACAGTCAGAAAATGAGCCACAGGAAAAGGGTTGCCCTTAAATTTGGTAACATTGAGGTATTCACTAAAAACATTAAATTGAACAAAACTAATCCTAAATAAAGAGACACCGTTTTAGTATCGAGTGTGACGCCCATGGGCATCAATTTCAGCTTCACAACGTCTGCGCATGCCCCGAATGAGATCGCGTATCCGGTTTTGTGGGATAGCGTTCCACTCAGCTACCAAAGCTGTTCCCAGCTCCTGGAGCGTTCTTGACTGAACATTTCTGTAAGAGAGAGCTGTCTGCAGCATGTCCCACACATGCTCGATGGGATTTAGATCCGGCGAGCAGGCTGGCCAATCCATTTGTTGAATAGTCTCTTGCTTAACACAACTTGAAACATTACACGCACGAAGACAAAATCATAAACTAACATTAATGTATAAGATTCTTAATAATTACACTCCAACTTATCTCGATAATATCATTCAACCATTTCTAAATGTAATTGATAACTATACCTTCAGAAATAACAGATTCTTAAATTTACCACAGACAAGAACTACTACTTATATGAATAGCTTCTTCCCTTCTATAATGGTAAAATGGAATGCACTTGAAAGCATCTCAATTTCATCTTTTAAAAAGAAACTTAAAAAGAACTTTGATACATCTGTCTTGGAAACTTTTATTAAATGTGTTCCGAGGAAACTTAACATCATTTTATGTCAGCTAAGAAATTTTAAAAGTGATCTTAACTTTGATAAGTTACAAGACCATCTGATTGATGATGCTTCCTGTGTATGTGGTGTACAGAGAGAAGATCTAATACATTTTTTCTTTCAATGTCCTCTGTATTCAAATATTAGGCATCATATTACCACTATTTATAATCTCGGAGGATATTTAAATCTGCACTGTTTAGTATATGGTATTAGCAATGCATCGGACCAATTAAATAAAACTATTCTTATACATGTTGACTCTTATATTAAATCATCAAAACGTTTCGTTACTAATACGTGCTAGATAAATTCCAACTGAATATTCATGTATTGTTATTATTATTATTATTATTCAGGCAAGTTTTGTCCCTTAAATAACGAGTATAAGACATAAGCTGGTGTGGGTGTGGTTGTGGATGTGTGTAGGAGGAAAACGAATTACAACATTATATATATTTAAGCATTGTACATAGCTACCGGAATTGAAGTAGACTGATATAGGCAAAACCTGTTGTCTTATTCTTTTGTCAATACTGTTCTAATATCTTCTTAAATGTTAACTTATATGTTTGTGTTATATGTGTATTGTCAATAAAATACTTTTGAAATTGAAAAATAGTCTCTTGCTGTATATACTGCTCAGTCACCCTTGCTCTATGTGGCCTAGCAATATCGTCCATAAGGATGAAGTCAGGGCCGAAAGCGCCAGCGTATGGTCTGACATAGGCATCAAGGATTTCATCGCAGTAAATCCGAGCCGTAACGGACCATTATGGAAGACATGGAGGTCAGTTTTTCCACGAAGGCGTATGCCTCCCAACATCATCACTGAACCTCCGCTATATCGGTTTTGTTCCACAACGTGACCTGCCTGGAACCTCTCCCCATTGGTAACGCAACGTTACCAATAAAGCGATACCGTCCGTATCTAAGCCGTACTGGAACCACGGTCATGTCACGGAATTGCATACTGTTATGCGACAATGTCGTGCAATTTGGGTACAAGAAGGACGGCCAAGAGGACACTGCTATGAATCATACAAAATATAACAAATAGTCAAAACGCGAATTTAGAACAGCACTAGATGAAGGGCGGGAACTAAATGAGGATAAACAGTTGGAAGAGCTGCAAGACGCAGCGGAAATAGATATTGGAACATTTTCCAAGGTAACCAGGAAAAAGAAATGCGAAACGTTTTCTTCAAATGAACTGCGCATTGGAAATGAGATAAGTCGCGATCCGGATACCAACAGGAAGGCATGGGCAGAACATTATAAAAACCTATCAAAGCCAGGCACACAACAACATTTTGATACCAAATTCAAAGAGGAGGTAGAACGTAACATCGAACGAATGTACATAAACAGTTTCAATAACCAGAATACTATATGCTAGAAACACATTGGATTTGATGAGCTAACAAAAGCAATTGGAGATGTGAAAAATGGGAAAGCAGGACATGATAATATGTGGAACATATTCGTTATGGTGGGACTATGCTGAGGAAAGTGCTAATCATGCTGTTTAACATTATAATTGATCAGGAGGACTGTCCAAAGCATTTCAAAAAAGGAATCGTTATCACTTTGTTTAAAGGCGAGAAGAAAGACCGTCTTGACATGAATAACTACTGGGACATTACGTTGACACCAGTACTACAACAACTATTTGAAAAAATCATGTATCAGCGAATATCAAAACATTGTTCAAAAATTGGATTTCCACACAAGTTGCAACAGGGATTTTGACCACAATATGGCAGCATTACAGCCGCATTAACCGTAAAATAATCAATTTGTCACTATCTGGAGCGCAATTCAAAAGTCTTTGCAGCGTTTCTTGACAACACAAAAGCATTTAACAGTGTTTGGATACAGGGGTTGCCATTGAAGCTGAATCGACTAGACATCAACGGTAAATTCTGGTGGATTCTTCATAACTCGTTTGTTGGCGTGACGGCATGTGTTCTTTATGATGGGGAAACGAGCGATGCGTACCCTGTAGAGCAAGGAGTCGGTCAAGGGAGGACTCTCTCTGCTTGGCTCTTCATTATTATGATTGATGATTTGGCGGTTAGGCTGGAAGAAGCAGGTCTTTGACTAGATGTCCAAAACCTCTACATTCCGTGTGTTTTCCTAGCAGATGACACTTTACTTTTAGCTGCGTCGATCAGAAATCTACAGATGCAGTTAGACAGTGTCCACACATATGCAAAGCTATGGAGACCTAACTATAATTAAGCAAAATCTTCATTAATGCAATTTACAA